TGGGTCCCGAACTTCGAGATTGTGGAGAAGATGTAGGGTATTGCTTTATGGTGGGTGAAATCAACGATGTGACTCATGATTTCTCCAGACGGGAATAATGCAGTATCATTAACCAACCGTTGCTTGACGTGGGTTCGGTGTCGAACCGCGCCTCCAGGAAGCTCGCTCGCTTCTCCCTGCGATGAGTGTAATGATGTACCGAGTACGAAGAGAATCCTCCTCCATTCCTGAGTTGGAGAAGCATATCTCTAAGGCTGCAATGGCTGCTTTGGCCGACGTATGGCCTCGAGGCGGACGATCCCCCCACCGCTTCACGGCCGGGAACTAACTCAGATATATGCTGCCCATTGTCAGAAGTCGCGATACCAGGTGTGAATTCCCTGAGATTCCAAGCAATTTGGGGGGACGCTTATCGACGAAAACGACGGGAATTCGGGAGATAAAAAATCGGTACATTCCACCTCATCCGACGTCTACCGTTCGAGTCCTTCGCGACCTGGACTTTCCAAGCGCGGAAATCTGGTGTTTGACCCGAGAGAACTGGACTGTGATTATTCTCATACGATCGCTTGATCGTTCTTTCCCCATGAAGTCGACTGTCTGAGGAGATTTTTCTCAGAACGCCGTTCAACGTAAGCGTTTCCCTGGGAATCATCGCACAAGTCCTGAGCGGTCGGAGGCCTGGCTAATCCGATTGTGGTTGGCATCTGGCGCCGTACCCATGACGTTCACTCGTTTCGATATCCGTCGAATTCGTCCTCCCCGATACAGGGTCTATAGCTGGAACAAAGGACGCAATCCATGGGTCAAAATAGACCTCTGCTCGCCGAGCGACTAGAGATTGCGTTTAGTCGATCCCAGTACCAACGTGTCGGTACTGGAAATTCGGTACCGTCGCGCGAGCAACCATCAGAAACGAAATCGTGCGCTGAAGCGGCCTCTGTCCCTCGGAGCTTCCACATACAAGGTCCTAGGCCGTAATCGACGATATGAGACACGGGTCACGGCCAGAGGGCGTGGAGGATCTCGTGTTGCGAGCTGTACCATCTCGCACTAACTCCGTGGTTGGGCGGGTTTCGTCAACACAGCGATGACATGGGCGATTGACCCATTATTCATCCGGCGACTGTTGTCTTATCTCCCCCTTATTCATTTCGCCGGCTGACGCTGCGCGGGATTAGTCGGAGAGAGGGGCACTTAGACTCTCCGCCGACTTCCCTCTTTCGATTCCCAATTCGTTGCCTATGGAAGCTATCATCTGAGGTGAACGAGAAACTCATCTATGTACCACGGTATTCATTCGTTTCATTCCTAGTGCGTACAATGGGATGCCATTACGCCCCATTCACGGATGGGATCATCCTCGTCCCTACGCTAGCACGCACGAACGCATGAAAGCACACAAGCCGGGGTGCATTTTGAATCTCGGAGAATGTCTTCAGGGATTCCGATTCGGGTATTTCGGGAAGAGAGCGTCATAATGGGGGCGCAGCGGCCAGATCCATCCGCAGGTTCTGGAAATTTCCCTGGCGTTTTTCTTCCTCTTGGTTCCCAGAGTTGTTGCCTGTCGTCTCCGCGAGATAGGAATCGAGATCAAGTTAGGTACAGTGGGCTCGGCTTGATGGGACCACGTCGGAATCGAGCCATCTCGGACGGTTGGTCCGACTAGCCGGAGTGGTTTTGACCAGGGAACCTCATTCGGGGATCCGGATGCCGGTCCGATGAAGCCGAGGGCCCGATTATCCGCTGGTCCCAATCGGCGGAGTTTACTCGTTAAATCAATTCTGAAATCTGAAGGGGATAGTCGTAGCGAACAATTCTCGAACGGCGAGGGGACCATTGTTGTAGCCTCCACGTCAGGACTGGGAAGACACCAGCGAATGCTGGCAATAGATTGGGAATGCTGGGAGCATTGCGATGTGTTCCATCTCGAGCTACGATGCGTCGCTGAGGATGAGTTAGACATCAAGCTCGAAGCATTCGTAGTGAAAGGCACATTTTCAAGATGAAAAGTCAAAGCAACATCTGCTGATGATTTTATTTTTCCATTCACTAAACATTAACTGTGATGTATTCTTCATTTATGATTCACTGAAAGGTCATCTTAGATAACGCGCCCCGACAGAAACTCAGTGATGTGATCTACTTAGATTGGTTTGCGACTCTTTTCCGAGCGATTATCAATATTCCCAGACGATACCGCTTTCCCTGAGCAAGTAACTGGCTTGGAACCACACTTTCCATCGAAACGCAGGAAAGTTCCGAGACTTCCAGGATTCGTCCCGGCAACTGGAAACTTGGACAATCATTCCGCGACTGGGATCAGTTCATTCGTCACCAACAGAGATCGACCATCGCTGTCGATCCGTCGCTCTCTAAACAGGGAACGTCGAATCCGTCAGAAAATCTGCTCCATCCTTGCATTCGAGACAACAAATAACATACAGGCGATTATCTGAACTGAACTCTGATTCTACCGCACCGTGTGGAATGTTCAGAACAAGAGAAGTCAGTCAAGTTACTCTTGCCTCGTCATCACGCCGTATTGCGTGCTATGGCCATTGATGAGAAAACAGAAAAAACGTGTCATAGCTGATTGAATTGAAGCATCGGAGAACGGTGAAACATAGCTTCAAAGCAGCGATTCGATCGGAGATGTGGTTTTACAAAGCTAGTGATACGTCATCGTCGTATTTCAGAGCAGGAACCATCTCTTCGCGACAGGTCGGCCGTTTGCCTTCATATTCACACCGCACACGTCCCATCACTCATCAATCAATCTTCATTCGCTCATCTTCCCATGCCAACATCACCATAATCGGTCATGCGCACATCCGTTCATATCAGATCGAGTTATTGATCTTGTTCCTCCGTGAAGTTAGGGTGCTATGCGATATTCAGTTCTATGCTCTTCTTCCCGTCCGTTTCCTCCCTCCTATCTGAACGATATAAAAGTGAGAGCTCGTAGAAAACTGTGAAATCGGTGCGTCTGTACCTAGGGAATAGATGTCTCTCTTACTCTCTCGTTCCGAAATCTCAATCAAGTTGATCGCTTGCATGACATCATCACCCCCAGCTCGAAACGCTGTACACTCGATTCTTCTTCCATCTAATCTTGAGCGAGCGTTGATGCTCCATGACCACAGTCGGCAGTGGTTTCGTTTCTCTTCCTCATGCTGCATTTGCGTACATAGCATATATATGTATTCATGGTGTCCGTCGAGCTCTATCCATGATGAGAGACCGCGCGCAACATTTTGGGGAAAGCTGTCTCGATCTTAAACCTTCATATTTTCAGACATCGCCACCAATCTATGTTCTCCTACCGCAAGGCTTCCCGTCGATCCGATCGAAACTCGTGAGTTAGACCCAGGACCGATGCTTCAAAACTCCATTGATAAGGCATACACAATAATTACAGTATTCCCAACGAAGATCTCTCACAAGATTATCGACGGGCCTTACCTCACACCGAATCCCGGGCATCCACAGTCCGTCCCTACGTCAGATCCCGGAGCACCACAAGGAATAGGCGGGAAGATGTCGGCACAGACCGGCAGACTAAGGAAAAGAGAGCCATAGATTGTCCACAGGCTTCCCCAAGCATCATCACATGAGTACCACATAAGCTGAACATTACATGATACGCTTCAATTTGTTCCCGTTCTATCGACTTATACGTCTGTATATCGCTTTTTGTCCGAACATTTCTCCTCTCAGTCTGCTCCGTACAACCTATGTAGGTATGTATTTCCATGTAAGATAGACAGTTAGCCACAACAGGAGCTGTGGTCGAGCGAGGTTGTTGTTGATAAGGGACGCTGTCCAACGTCGCCTATCGCGTCAGGAACTGCTTCGATAAGGGCTTAGTTCAACTCACATTGTTATTCCGGCAAATGAGAAAAGTACTCGCGGGAAGGCTAGACGCACCGATATCCTGGTGGGGGTTACGATCTTTCAATACATTTCAATAGCTTAATGGTATGTATATTCAAATATTTCTCTTTAGTCATTAGCTGGTAGTATTGTTCTCTGTTTCCTCCCTCGCATGTTCGGGGATTCTCAATCCTCTCTTACGGCTCCTCCTCTACATTTGGAATAGCAGGTACGCGTGTCGCTTTTGTGCTGATATCATGTTGAACTCACCACGAGTGAGGTTGCTCTCCATTTGGTTTCGTTCTTTCGTTTGTTTCTCTGATCAGTCAATTGGGAAAGTTCACTCAATCGGGGCAATTTTACTTGCCGTGTCCAGATATCGAATGGACCTCCAATGAGATCGCTTGGGAATCCCTGCGCACCTGCTAACATTGTCATTCCGTATTTCGGCGGTCGTTGCGTCAACTGTCGAAAAGTTCACTCGCATCGAGATGGTTTCACGCTGAGGAACCTCTCCGCACAACTCAAAGCGGCCAGCGATCGATGCATTCTTCAATCGATCAGTCGTTTGTCTCCCTCTCATTGGCCGTGTTCGCGAGACCTGAGTCTCCATGCGACTGTTCGAATAGCAGAACTTCTTCTTCTACTCTCGAATCGATCCGAATCTCTCATATTGTGGGTAGCTGAATCAGGGTCATGAACAAGAGAGTCCATCCGTACGATGACGTTGCTTCAAAGTGTTGAGTTGCCATTTAGGGTGCCATTGAGAAGGTCAATCATGCAAGTGCAAGTTTTTGGTCAATTCCGTGGATTTTGGTCGATCGATCACAATCGCACCTGATTATAAAATAAATTTGCCGTCCACGAGAATCATTCTCCACATTATTTTCACCTCTGGCTTCCCGTGTTCGCACACCCTCCCCTTGTTTTTATCTGTGAATAACTCTGCCTACTACATAATGCTTGTTGTTGAGGATGTCGCTGGTGTCAAGGTCATCGTGCCTTGAGTGTCGGATTCAGGTCGCCTTCGGCGTCGACATGAACATTTAGTTTGCAGGTTCGATTTCCTTCGCCGTTGATGCGCAGAGTTCGATTTGTTGTGCCGAGTTCTGATGGTGGCTCCCTCAAACTGGAGTCGTTCTACGCAATGTGTCGAGCGTAGTGGACACAGTTGTGCAGGTGAAGTCCCGTGAAAGTTCACGCGACAGATCCCTGGATGCGGCTCGCTCAAAATTTGTGCCGGATCTGGAGATGGGCCGGTGATAGTACGACAAGTCCGTCAGCGATTCGGACAGAGGGATAACGTTCGATACCGATCGACGTCGTTGATAGAAGTCCTGCTCTTCTACAGAGTAAGAGGACTGCAGCTTTCGGATTGAGTTGTTTCTGTTGAGGAACGATGACTTAGAGATATCACGTCAGGAATATGGTTATCCTCATCACCTTCATCTGGAAATTTCTCCGTACGGCGCGGCGGGGAGCGAGGCCGAATCTCAATTCACCGTCGTAAGTAAAAAGAACGTGACCATGGATCGCGGTATCAGGTTCGTTCGAGATCCTCTGGCACGTCTCATAAAACCAACCTGTGCTGTGGCTGAGCGTGAACTGATCCTGAAGAATGGTGGTGGTTATGACAACGACCGAAGCCCGCGCCTACGACTGCTCCATAGCCACCAGCACCGCCCACCCCGACGCCCATTAGACCCAATCCGCCTAGGTTATGGCTGCCCGGATGAACTGACGTCACGCTTCCCGTCGTACTTCCTGAAATTACGGCGTTCTTGTGAGTCGCCGTGCAGCCTCGGAAAGAGACACAGACTGCAGGAGGAGCCACATTCAAACGAAGATCAGGGAATTTCGGGGCTTTCGATATGAAAAATGAAGAGACTCCCAAGGAGAATGGTTCTCTCTCGTATGTATGCTTTCGGGTCTCTTCTTCCCTTCTCGGTTCATCTCGCGCCCTGCACTTCCGGCTGATAATGCAGAAAAAGTGCTGAAGCTTCCTACCAAATCCCCGGAAATAAAGTACAATAGAACATGACTTGGAAAATAGGCGGGAAAAGTTCCTCGAAATCCTAGCGGCTCCATTTTCCGAGAATAATATTCATCCCGTGCTACAGAATGATGGGAGTCGATCGCACCGCGAAACGCGCGAGAAAAACACGGAAAAAGGGTGAAGCTCAAAAATCGACACGCACCACACTCACCGGTGTAAGAGAACCTACTGCCGTGTCTCCTACAATGGGGTACATGAGCATCGTTGTTCTGTAGGAACGAATCTATTTTTCGATCAAGGCCTTTCTTTTTCAATTCCTGCCGATACCTGAGGGAGAATCGATAATAATTGGATGCGCTGGCGCTCAGAGAGACACCAAGGCACGTTGAACTGTTCGAATGATCACTCACCTGTGAATACAGAGAAAAATCGCAAAAGTTCCTGCAAGTTCGCTTGACATCAGTCCAGTGACTGCTAAAAGGAACGAGTACCCGTATCGGTACATGAACAGTGGACCCTGCAAGGAATCAGCTCGCCTTAGTTCGACAATTCGTGCTGATGACATCAAAGAATAGTACTCGCTTTCACTAAACTAAGTCCGGTCATTATCGACGTAGGTAGCTCTGATTCAGAGCTCGCTCGGCGACGTCCGCCTACACGATATAATGATTCGGAAGGTCGGAAAAATCGCCATGAAAAAAACGGCTCGGGTCCGACGCGGTGAGTTAGAAGCCACGAGGATCGACAGCTTCACGCTATCGCCCGCGTGCCGGCTGCGATGCTCTCGGAGCCCCGAGCGAGTTTGTTGAGGGTTGTCGACAGAAAGCACAGATCATGGACAACCACTGCTCAGATTTCTCGTACTTGTCGCTGAATCTCTTGAAGAATGTGCGCAGTCCGCGCGTGAGTCTCAACTTTCTTTTTGTCGAAGTCGTTCGCAACGGAAACGAAGGAACTCCGACTGAAGTTCGAAAAGATCCGTGGACGCAGAGTCGGACTCTCCCATCGCTGCTATGGAGTAGGAAAAATGAAAACAGGTGAAATATCGAGGGCATCTTCTTTCGGATACACTACAGAATTATGGAAGACATAATCTCCTTGAGGGATGATTGTGGGAAGCATTGCGTTCGATTTCGTAGCTCTCAATTCTTAAGGAAACGCGGAGGGAGCTGTCCTCACAACTTCACAGAGTCGGGTGCTCAAAATAACATGATAGAATGTGCAGGAACATGATAGATCATGGTTCCGAGGCGATTCTAGCCTTCGTAGGGGTTTAGGGGAGCTCGCTCGAAAGGCTGCTGCGCCGTCACTGGAATGATTGTCGATTGTCGCCGGAGCAGTCGTAATTTCATTTGGAGATATTCTGGAGAGCTCTGCGTTCGATCTCGGAGCCATCGGCTCATCGGCCAATGCAAAGCGAGCGGTCCTCGTAGTTTCGAAGACTCGGGCGGTCGGGATGCCATGAATGACAACATGACTCTCATGCGATGCTGACTCGCGAGCTGCGGTAGTAGATGAGCTTCTGAGGCTGGAGGGAATGGAACTCATTTGTACGCTCTCGATCCTCTGATCATCCGGATGAGCATTCGATCACCCCGATCATGCTCACTTAGGAGGCTGCTGCGTCATCGAATCGCACCTCAGCGGAACGGTCGGGGCACAATGTGAAGAGAGCTTGTGAATATGAGAAACATCTAGTGAACACCGGAGAAAAACTTGCTAATTTACGGAATAACTTGACAACGATGCGATTGATCGAGGGGGGAAATTTCTTCTTACGCTAGCAGGAATGATTCTGCATCGTATCGAAGTAATATGAAGTCCTTCCACACGCTATTAGCTCCGATTTCTGGTACGGTGACGGACCGACATCACGGCTTTATTCTATAAGGTGGATAAGGTGGATCCCCTTGAATGTTCTTCCCCGTACGGAGGAAACTCCGTCTCGAGCGGTGACATAGACGCGCCATTTTTCCTCCAGCCAGGAGATCCCTCCAGGTTGAGGGCCGAGACGTCGGGTTAGAATCGTCGGGCTTCCAAGCCGCTACGACGACGTCGATTCGTGCGCGTATCATTTCGAGTCGGAAGGAAAAATCAGGAGCGCACAAGCTAAGCCGTCCGTGAGATCGCTGCCAGGGATGGGGGCTCTGAACGCTGGCTAGTCTCGGCCGAAACTGGACTCCGTAACCACGGTCTACGAGCACACGAGATGCAACTTTTATACGGGCGTAAGAGTGTGGATTTTAAGCGGCCGAGAGAGGGAGCGGCAGCTCCGCAGGAGGAAGCTTTTCGAAGGCTCGATTTGAACCACGTCCCGTCCGTTCGAATGATCTTTCTGAGCCGATGGATACCTTCAACCCTTTCTATTTCCAAGTCTCGCCCACTCGTTCGTCCGCCCTGAGCGAGCGACCTGCCAACCGACCAGCGGGCCGACCGCCTCGCTTTCTCTCAGGGTGCCAGCCCGGGCGTACGCTTTCGCTTCTGTCGAAAATTCATCATCCGGAAACTGACTCGGTGTGCGTGAGTGGACGATCCGCAACGGTACCAGTCACTTTTGTTCGGGCACGTCGAGAAAGAGCTTACCCGAACAGAATTCCATCACGCCCGCGTTCCATCTAGCTCGTCCCCCGTGACGAATTTGTTAGCCCATGCTGAGTGGTACGCTCCTTGGCGCCTAATCTCACTAACTAAGGCTGCTTACCTGGAAGGTTGATTTGGGTCTGAGTTTGGCTCCGACTTCAGCCTTGAATGTTGAGATGTAGATCACCATTCCCACGAGGATCATGAGGCCCGAAATAATGAAGCATATGCCCGCCGCGAAGATTAGTACACGACGCCTCTTCAGTAGATGGCCCAGGAAACAGAGCACCTCGCCCAAGCACAGGATCAGCGCCGATACGAGGATGAAGGTCGATGCGCGGTTGACGGCATCTGGAATAATTGAAGTGTTGGGAATTTCAATATCGACCTCCTATCTGTTCATCTCAGGCGCTCCCTTCAGGCTACTGCGGAAATCCGAGGCCTGATTATCAGCTCTGATCTATGGTCTGACGCGGCTCCCGATAAGGTCGCGCTTTCCTTGCTCAGAACTGGAGGGATCCCCAGCGAATGGAGGGGGCTGAAGTAGGGGGAGCCAGGGCGGGGACACTGTCAGAGCCGTGGTGGAGAGAGGGCTTCCGAAGCAAACTGGGAACGAGGCCTCGGGAGCTGTCTTTCTGTCTCCTAAAGCTCAACCGTAAGATGCCCGGGAAGAGAGCGAGAGGAAAAAGCTCCGGAGACGACTTCATGAAGAAAAAAGGAGACTCCCCGAGTCGGCGTAACAGGAGAGAGGATAATCGTGTAGGTGAAACCGAATGGACCACTCGGTCTCGGCCGCCGCCGAGTCAGTCTCTCTAAGTGTGTTCGTTCCTCAGGGGCTGAGCACGAAGAGCGGAGCTCTGCAGGAACTTATGGCCTCCGCTGTTTAATAATGCAAAAAGTGACACCTTCACCCCCTCGGTCAAACAAATAGTTGGTATACCAGTCATTCCAACACATTTGTCGTCGAGGCGTTCCCAACGAGAATTTGGTCTGTCCATCTACATCTAATGTGGCATTGCGGGGCCAAGATAGCTTTCCGAAATCTTTCAGAGAAGAAAAAGCGGAGACCATCTCTCTCGCCTCCGACGTCACGACTTCGTACAAAATCGAGGCACACGGCAAAGCTCGGGCACTTGACTTGACTTGACGCTATGCGGGACGCGGAATTCTTCATGAATATGAATATATTCATTGGCTTCGTAGTCTGTGGATCCTGTGTCTGAAATTTCATTCTCGAGAATCCAGTCAACCGTCCCGAAATCGGCCCGTAATACCAAGGATGCCGGGCGTATTCCCTCTATACTCACAGGGGATAGCCATCGTTGAGTCGTTCGGATCCGGGCTGTATTCTTCGGCGGGGAAGTAATCAATATTTACGCATTTTTGAGCAATTTCGCCAGCTGTAAGGAAATATTAATTCATTTAGTCTCAGCTTCTTCCTTACTCCACAGGGAGCTACTCAGCAAAGTCTCACATGGGAGGTAGCGGAAAACATGCTCAGTTTCCGTCGAGCACGACAGGAAAATCGACCGCCGTGAGTCTCCACAATACAACAGACAACAGAAACTCGTCCTGGCAAAGTTCGAGGGACCGGAGGATTTGATCTGGTGAGGCCGGAGTTCGTTATATCCGAGAGAATCCAAATGGGAAGTATGAGAGGGCGGGGTCTCTCCGCTAATCCGCTATACAGGGAGGGTCCGCTGTCACGGTTTCTGTATTCGGGACCGTGATAGTGAGCTCCTTCTGAAGTAGATTTCTCCAAACTCTGGGCCTGTACGATCGCTCGCTTCCTCATTGCTTGAGCCGTTATTTCGGGCTTTGATCATTTTCGTCAGGCATAGAAAGTTTCTAAAAATTCGTCTCTCGATCCACGCTTCCATTCCAAGCTTGCGCCAGTCAAACAGAGAGTGATTTCCCTCTGAACCATCACAGAGCAGAACTCAACAATTTCTTGGGGTCCATAGTCCTCGCAATACTATCTCCTCTGAAACTGCTGGTCTGACGCATCTTCCCAGGGAAATTCCCCATGCCCCGAGTTCCAACAGCGGCTCCTACACCGCCGAGCGTCTGATAAAACACACCGTGTTCTAGGGGCTGGACGCTCCTGTTTCGAACGAAGCGATGGCGGCCGATGTATGTTGCAACATCTCATTCGTTCAGTCCAAGTCGCGGAACTTTCCGTTTGACAGAACTCGACTCGTCCACAACAGAAGCAGCAGCAGCAACATCAAACAGCGGCGGCCGTCGAGTTTCTCCCGCAGGGCTCGTAAACCGTAACCCTATTTTCTGTGACCCGCGATGTCTGCCGACGAATGGCCGAGCGACCACTTCCACTAAATTGAATGCCTTCTAACTAAGTATCATGAGCTGTAAACATTCCATTCAATTGTCGATCGGCTGCCGTCGTCATTCAACGGGAGCGAGAACGGCAGATGTCATACAGCGCACGGTAATAGAGACAGCTCGTGCTCTCACCTCTCGCACAGTTTTTTTTTTCGCGTGAGTTCGGCGATCTGCCGTTTGTTCACCGATTTCCATTCACAGACTCCTCCGGGCCCAAACAACTATTGCACCTCATGGTCGCCGATGGAGCGACGGGATCTCCACTGGACTCGTAGGACGGATCTGCGGAGGCACCGAGAGCATCGCCGGGAGATTGTTCATAAGAAAGTTCTCATGCTCCACTCCATTATAAGCCCGGCCGTCTAACAGCGCGGTGAGGTCGGCGGCCGCCACTGCCAACGCCAAGCACCTCTACCGCGGGCACTACCGCCAAGTGCAGTATGATGTATATCTTTCATGGAGATGGGTTCGGCCAGAGAGCGAATATAATTTACGAGATCTCTTCGAGCCCAACTGTATTCTACGCCGGGGCAGAGGAGCGGGTACTGATTGGTCTTCAACTTCATCTCGGCCAGTGGAAATCCTTGTCGGAGACGGCTACGCTGATTTTGCCTCGACCACCAGCACTGGCGCAGCTTGTATCGAATGGCGCTGACTCTGAACCGTGTCGACCGAGTAACATGAGCTGTGGTTCTTTTCCAAGATTCGCCCTCGCCGAGTTTTTCCTATGATGATAGAGAGGACGGGCTCCGTGGAATACGTGGTTACGCCGGATTGGCGGGCGTCCGCGCGATATTTGTGCTACAGCATCGCAGCGAAAGGCGGGTCGATAAACTTAGGAGCTTTCGAAACACGCTAATCGGTGCAGAGGAGAAAAATGCTCCCCGTGAGTTTCATGTAAATTCGGTATCAAAAACAGAATCTTGAAATTATCTGACGACCGACGCGTATGAGACCCGCGTTTGCGTCGTGCATTTCCGCGACCGAAGACGGGCTCATGAATCGAATCGTATTACCGAATTCTATCCGCGGCTGCGCACCCCGCGTAACGGACGAAATTATTTTTCATGGAATCAAATCGAAGAGTTCCGCAGGCTGCAGACCCCGGTTCGTTTTCGTGCCCGGATCGATATCATCGTCTGTCGGCAAAAATTGTCGGGAAGTATTCCATTGCTTTTTTGGAGCGACTTTCGAACATTGAATTATTGATGGAGGTCACAGGGACCGTTCCGAAGATTCGTCCCAAAGGATTTTCAGAGCGTAGCGATCCGGCCGGAGGCGACCAGAATGGAGGGACGCGATTTGTCCGGCAAGTTATGATTCAGGAATTCAATCAGAATCGGATCCAATGAAGTTGGGAGATGAGCCGACTATCCGCAACCAAGGAAATGGAACAGTTTCCCCATCAGGAGATAGGTAGTTCCTCCGTCTTCCGTCCGCTATATTGGACGCAGAACTCGATCCCTGTCGGTCGCTTGTTCACAAGGTCGTTCGGCCTGTCGGAAGGCGGTAGGTTCCCGGCGAGCTGGAGCTCCGAGCGCAGATTGTCAAGCGGGATAGCGGTATCATCCAGTCTTTCCAAAAACTATGTTTCCTTTGATTCTTGTGTCCCCGTCGACCCGCTCCGTGGCCGAGTGTGGAGCGCCGAGCCCACCGTGCGACCGCGAATTTATCTGAGCCGCCAACCAATCTTCTCTTCTCAGCAGCGGGAAAAGCGGAGCACCGTAGTAGCAGGAAAGGATATCACAGATCCAATGCAGCCGACGGAAGCCCGGCACTGGAGTCGCGAGGTGCCAGTTCCTCCTGAGACTCCGGCAAGAAAAAATAGGAACAGAGTAAAGTATTGAAGTTTCGTTCGGCTCCTCCAGAGTTCGCTGACTGAGCTCCATGCACGACTGATCCACTGGACGCCGACAATGAAGTTTCCAGGATCGGGGGCCGAAGCTCTTTTCTCCTCGATTCTCGCACGAGTTCAGTTCGAACATACTGCAAGTTCCGGGACTTCCTCGGATACGGAACCGATAGCTCTGGACTAAGAGCCAGAAGAGAAGGTTTGAACGTGGCCCCTCTTCCGGAACTATCTTTTTCGGAAACACGCTCGGAAGCAGGTGCAAGTTCCTCGGTCAGAGAGCAGCGGGAATAGGATGGAACGATCCCTCCGGTAGTCTCCCCTCAGTAAGTTGACAGACAGGGCTAGCTCGAGGCATCGGGAAGGCGGCGCCAGTGATGGAATGGGAAAAATAGGAGTTTGGAAACGGCGGTGCAGCGCTTCGCCTCGGAGAAGTTCCCGTTACACAAAGTAGAAAAGGGAGTGCCATCCACATACGACCACCCGTGCCGCTTCGCAGCTTGGCCGACTACTTGGCCCACAGGCTGGCTGGAAGCCTCTGCTTCGGAAGCCATTGCTCGACGGGCTATTTCAGTGCTCGCAGGAAATCCCGTCAAGAGACACCTCTTGCCTGCCGCTTCTCCTGGAGGACGGCTGAGCAGCAGTTAGGCGGACCCGCTGGCTGAGCGCACACCTGCCGTCTTCGAACTATTGGCCGATAGAGAAACGCGGCTTCGATCTGCTTTCGGTCAACTACACCCGACTCGGACGAGTTCCAGCATGACCGTGCAGTCGCCTTTCGCTTTGCTGCAGTCCGACTGACTCCCTAGTTGGCGGTCGTAAGGACTTTCGGTCGAGGACTCGGCGAGGGTGGGAAAGCCTGCGCACAGACCCAATGAGAGCCGACTCGGTGGTTCATAATGTAACAAGCGAGTCACATTTGAGCTCAGCCGAAAGCACGTTGCTTCCCCAAACGTCTCCGGCATGGACCGGTAAGACTGACAGACAGACCGACAGAGGGAGAGATGGTGGACAGATCGCCGTTCTCCGATGATTCGTCCGTCTGGTCCATCCATCTATCCATCCACCTAAATCCTTCTAACTCAGTGGCGATGGGGGAAAGGGATTTCCGAGGTCGGAAATCGCAGCTCCCGGTGCCCCGAGGACACACGCTTGCCCGAGTCGATCGGGCCCCTTCGTCTCCGGCGGCGCCTACTACAGTTGGACGATATCGAATCGACTAAACTTTTAAAATGGTCATCTTCGGATGGATACATGGAAGTGGCCGGCTCGATCGCTTCGCCTCCGATCTTGGTGCCCGGTTGCACAGACGCGAATCAAATCACCGAGACGCGGAGTGAAAACCGCGGAACTCCAGCCCAGGCTGTGAGTGAGCTGCCTTCGGGTTATTCAAATGATACTCAACTCACGCCTTGGAGTATTAGTTCCGCCTTCTTATATTCTGAGAAATTTATTCCGCACCGCGAGCTCCAGTCGGGGGTTCTGGCGAAGCCTCCCGACCAAGCTTAGGTGTCAAAATCCGTTTTTCCTCGCTTTGTCGACGGAGAGACAGTGGAGTGTTCTCGGTCCTCGAGTCGATGGCAGGGACGCGAATGACGGTCGAGAGTGGGATCCGACAATCAATTACGACCAATGAGGCAATCGTTCTGATATTAAACCTTGGTGGCTTTCGAGATTCAGCGTGATGGGTTTTCCTTGCAGAAGTACATTGCGTGGATGGTGCTCCTGGGAATGCGCTCGAATCGTAAATACGAACTGAGCTTCTCGTTCAGAGTCAGGATGCCGAGCATTTGTGAGCCGAATATTTAGCGAAGTTCGGATAGCAAACTTGTATCTATGATTGCAGGGGAAAACTAGGGGAAATCGAGTAGATGACTTTTTAGGAACTTTGTCGCTCAAAGAGCTCAGCGGAACTCTCTCCTGTTGGGGGAATGGTTCCTCGGAAACTAACGTGGATCGCATAGCACGCATGAGCGGCTCACCTAAGAGCTCGTATACATTACCGAGCTTCCCCTCTTGCGCGAGACGTAGGCGAGCGAGAAGGGAGGCTCTGTTTAGATGAATTGGAGAGCCTTCTTCTGGAGAATTATCATCGATCTGCTGTGACGTGTACCTTAATTTGCTGTTCCTATCCGGACCGGGGACTCTTCTCTGCAGGGAAGACTGCTGGCCACTCGATTATTGGCTCCTCCTCGACACAGAGACCAATACGGCGGCAGCAGCAATCGAGCACATACACTCACACAGCTCATCATAAGGAAAACCGTGCGACGTCCCTCTGACCTGAGACCCTGGATACGCCAATTCGGGATGCGGGAGCATGAAAATGAGTCCGTCTGATTCCTTGTCATGCCTCTGCGCAGAGAACAGCAGAATCAGCAGAAAATCGAGGGCGCTCCCAACCGCGAGATTTTTGCCGGTGAATATCCGTCTTTCCAAATGTCGCAAAGGATCGTAGGGATCGCTCGGGTCGAAGAGATGAATAATTCGTAGGGGAGAAGTTCGTCAGAATAGAACCCTAAGTACTACCCGAATATTTAGTGGGGAGCGTTTGCGTGAAGAGCAAACCACAAAGCGAAAAAAAGCGTCTTGCGGTTGCCGTCGAGGAGAACTCGGATGCGAGCGTGACCGAGGGTCACGCCACGCGGGCTACTCCTGCGTGAAGCCAGCTCCCATCAACCCCGCCTCCATGGCATTAGCGAAAAAAAACATCACGAAGCAGGATGTAGCGTCTTCTCCTGCCGAGACATCCACCCGAAATGCGTCATTGGTAAGAGACGCCAACGCGCGGATCGTGAGATCAATCTTGAGGGTATTCCTCGATGATTATCACGGAGAGAGCTTCGGCCGAAGTCCGTGCTCACCGGCATCGAGGTTTACGGAATTCCGACAAGCAGTCGCCCGCAAGGCGGCGTGATCGCTACGAGCGAACTCGGGAAGGGCACACTGCGCCGACAAGTCGATCCCTTCCATGTCTCGCTCAAATGATCCTCGACGGTGAATTGTCACAGCGAACAAGCAACGAGAACTGATGGTTCTCACCGTCTTCGGTAGGTACTTTTATGCTGGTGTAGGCAAGAATGCGTGTACTCGAGCTCGACGCTCAAGGCTCCTACGATGGCGCTTGGAATTGCAAATGTCTCCTGGCCCCTCCGACTTTCGCTTACTCTTCCAAGGAAGCTGCGGGAATCCTTCAAAAAAAATCTTCGAAGCGTTCGTCTCGCTCGCAGATAGAAACAGCGAATCGCTGGAAAGCGACTACTAGCGCGGCCGCCGTACGAGAAAGTGCTCAAACTACATACAACCTGAGGCTAGGAGTGAGCGAGAAACTCTCCGTCGGGGATCCAGTGATTCAAAATTCATAAACGCCCGATGAAGAACGGAAAAACTCAGATTTGCTCGCTTTGCCCGCAGTGATTCCAAAAGTACGATTCTGACGACTCACGGCGCAGTGCGGGCGCCTACGAGAGAATAAATGCTGTTCCTGATCGAGTATGAATTTTCCACTTCCGTTTCCTGGGCACCGTGGTCGGAAGCGACCCAGAACCGAGATACTCGGACTGTGGCTGATTGAACGTAGAGTTGAGCCCAGTCGTCAGAAACTCAGCTCGGTTGAAGATGCTCACCACGTACCGTAGCATCCGGGAAGGCTCACGGTGTCGGAGTCGTGATCCTAGTCGGAGCCCAGACCCCAGCGGATCCCCGCTGAGATCAGACTTGAGGAGGTTCAGACCTCGCTGTCTCTACGACCGTATTGACTCAGGGTTTTTTTCTTAGAATTCTCTCCCGTATATCCCACGCTCATCCGGCAAGCTAGAGCATCCGAATAGAATCGCCCGATCCCACGACAAGGGCTTGGCCCGTTCGTCAAGGTCTCTCATGCCCAGACTTGCTCGCTCTAGCGACGAGGACTAAACAAGGAGCAAACAAAAGTGGTATAAGATTGTTATACTGAGCTTCTAGGATAGACGCTTAGGGCGGAAATCGCTCCAAACACGGAATAGTTCCCCAGGCAGCTCGAGTCTGTGTGTAAGCAAGAGAACGAGTATTTATAATGGCGCTCGTCGGGAACGCCGGCTAGGCGGCTGGCGAGCGCGAGGGCTGGCGGCGAACAGACGGTTCGGTCGTGCTAGAGGTGCTTATAGTGTGTTTGATCGGTCGCATCGCTGGGGGCGATTCTAAAACCAAGAGCAGTGACTCTCGTTGCAGGGCTCTTGTTGTTGCTGCCGCTACAACGCCCCCGCAAACGCTGCTACCGTATTTGTTGAGTCATACGAGACGATCTTGCAGTACGCCATTCACTCGGCCGGACCGCGCGACGGCCGACCAGCGGTAATCCGAGGGACGCTCAGAGCGGAAATTTCAAAGAGAGGGCGAGCAAGCGAGCGACAAGACTCCATTCCTTCGAGTTGACCTTGCCCAAGGGCATGACGTTGTTTTTGAGGACGTATTCTTCTATATCCAAACGCGACTCAGGACACCCTCGCTGCGACACGCGGGCTTCTGCGCGTGACTCAGTTTACCAGATCGGGAGTCCATCTTCCCGTCGCAGCGGTTAGGGAACAGGCAAATCTGCGAAAAGCACACAGCGGGATTCCGTATCTCCGTATGCGTACCTGTTGCCGTCTTTCCGACTGTCTGACCGTGACTCTCTCCGTTTGTTTGTCTGTTGCGTGTTTTCTCAACCGAGTGACCTATCACTTGCATCATCGGGTACAACAATCACCAGGAGAACGCTTCTTACAGCAACAAGTTGCTCGCCTGGAGAGCTTAGTTCTTCAGCCGCTATAGTTCCGCGAGAAAGGAAACTGAATGAACGCACACGGAGGGGATCCTCGGGGTCAGCCAGGAGAGGGGCGAAGGAGCACCCGCGCAATGCTTCCGATCCCGACTCACGCCAGACAACGAAGGCGCTAAGAATGTGGACGAGAGGAATAAGGAACGCGCGAGGAAAATTCCGTCGCCCGCCGCCGTCAGCTTGCCCGAGCGGAGACCGACGCCGCGACGCTGGCGAGGAAGCCCGGGCTATTCGGAGCAGGGAATCGCACACAGGAAGGCGTCAGGAGAAATTTCATCGGCCGCCGCTCGGAGCACCCGTGAGCTCGAGCTGGTAGAGGAGGAAAGTGGGTGGCGAGCGTGGAGTCTCTTGGACAAATCAATCCCCGTTCAATTCGAGGACTCGACTACGGCTCTTGTCAAGCCCCGCTTCTCGCATTGATTTTTCCCGGAGGTTGAGAAACCTCCCGGAATTAGAGCAGGCGTTACGCTCTCTCAACTTCGGAACCTCCGAATTTGTCTTCGCGGGCCCTGGTACTCCCCCCATTCGAAGCGGAGGGACAAGGACAGTCTGTGGCGGAGTTATTGCACACGTTCTACAGAAAATTCGAGATCGATCGACTTCAGTCCTATTCATGACACTGGTCGATGGAGCCGTTTCCTCCCGAGGCAGACCTGATACGTGATCCGCATCGCTCAGGCCTTCCCGCAGAGTCTATCCTTCCAATCGGAATTGTGTCACATGATCAGTCGTCCCGGATCAGAACTGCGGACTGAAGTTCAACTTATCGAATGGGGGGGGGATCCTCAAACTTTTCGAAATTGAAGATGAGCCTTACGATTGACACACTCCGCCGGGGATCCCTCACCGCCCACTATCTGCCGCCAGGTTGCGTTCTCACGAACCGACAGGTTCTCGAGACAGGTCCCATCGAAAAGGTTGCTGCCCGATACTATTTGAGAATTATTCAAACAGCTGAAACGACACTGGCCGAGTTGAAGAAACAACGAGCGAAGCCCGAGAGCGAAGCGAGAAGATAAACTATGCGTTCTCCCTCATCCGCTTTCTGTCAGCGTTTCGCTTGATCCCTCGATTCCGTAAGAACGAGCTCCGAATCGTTGGGGCATCCTCAACGCCACAGGTCGTTTCCCCTTTTTTCAACAACTCCGCCGCTTTCAATTCTGGTTAGAACTCCACAAGAAAATTCATCCGAGAGAATTGTTCGATGGCCACTGTCTGAGATTCCGGTGCCATGGGAACAATTAACATTCCGGCGGGGGACCATCTGGGAAGCCTGGGCCGCGAAGCCGCAGAAGTGAGAGCTACCGGTTTCTGGGGAAGAAATTCGCAGCGCAGAATCTCACGAAGTCCTGGGAAAATGCACTACAGGAAAGGCGAGATGTTACAATAAAAGGAGGACGCATACGATCAATGCCATCATCGGCATCATTAACGAGCCGCTAAGGGACTCTATTCTCGTCCTGGCTCCGTCCGCGCGCGAATATTCCACTGCGGAAGAGGCGGAATACTTCGCATTCTCCCCAGATCGAGTTTGCCTGCCAGCGAGAGCAGGCTCCAGCGTTTCTCTTGAGACTTTCCGTTTCCCATTTGGGTAAACGCGCTCGCACCGGATTGTCGTCCAGAACAAGCAAGCGTGATAGGTTAATCGCGTGGAGGTTTTCCCCTGACGATGAGTCCGGTTCCCGCCTCCTATGGAGATTCCCGATTAGACCATCTGCGTATCGACTGCCCTAGCTGACTCCGGACACAGCAGATGAAGCGACTTCACTTGTTCCATATTGAGGATATAATTAGAAATCCTGATCGGGGACCTCCCCACGGCAGAGGAAATTTCGAATGCGGAATCTGGGCATAAAATTCTGCTTCCACCCATGATTCTCGGATTTCTGAGTTATGCTTCATCAGCATTTGCGTGGTCGGGGGAGGTGCCCGATCGTGTGAGCGCTGAAGATGTAGAGTTTTCATCGACGATGACTTCGTGACAGTTTCAATAATTTCGGTCTGGGCAACTCCAGAGAGAGAGCGTCTAGTCCACGTGGTAGAGGAGAGAAAAAAACTCACGATCATTGAAGCAGATTTTCCAGAGTCCGCTGATGGTGAACTTGGAGAGATATTCTTTATCACCGGTTCCATTGTATCGAGGATTGGGCATAAGTTCTTCGGACTGTAACCATCGATCGGTGAACAGCGCGACCCCCTGAGCTACGAGTGAGCCCAGGGCCGTCAAAGGCGTCAAAAGACGCAGGAGACGCACCGTGTGACGTGACATCCTTCACCAGCGATAGGAATGGGATCCACCGCTGGAGGATGGGGGGGCGTCTAGAGCGCCAGGGACGTCGGGGGTGTTCAGGCCGTCCGGGATGGCAAGCGTTGACGTCCGGATGACGACGAGCTCCTCGCTGAACGCCGTCGACAGCTCTCCGCTCATTTCAGTCAATCACATTGATGGGCCTGTGTCGGCCACACGCCTGCGTTTCCACATTCTTTCTTCACACACGTCCACCAGCCGATCTTAGCGGAACACCGGAAACGAGCAGAAGGTAGAAATTCGCCAAAGAACCGAATGCGACTTTTCGACGAACTGACTAGGAATCGATGGACTCGATCAATTCATTTATCGAAATTTCATGAGGATGTATGCGACGACTGGTTTTCGCCGGAGTGAAATCGCGGAACCGGCGTCGATCCTCCCAGAAGGAGTCCTGAGATGTCTGAGCGTAGACGGCGTCCTTGTCGTTGACTGTCGCGTCGAACTGGTCATAAACGTACGGTCTAATTTCGAACAACGGGTGGAAAAGAACGAGAAGTCGGTGTCGTACTCCAGGTGAAGATCCCGAACAGCGTCTCAACTTGAGTTGATTAGCACATCTTGCACAACTCGTCGGCAGTAGGTCTCACCGAACACCGGCAGGGACCGTCTGTATAATTCCGCGAGGTCTCCTCCTGATGTGGTCTTCCTGGTGGTGGTTCCGACCGACTAAACCGGGTCGGAGGATTCTCCGTACTCGGTCTCTGGAGGGCAGCTCCCGAATGATTCAGGTTCCCTGTGTTCCTCGCGTGATCTCCGATCGACGCCGAGGATTTCCCATATTTGGATTTTCAGTATCCTCGCTCGATAAACGGAAGTATCCGCTCGACGATCGGCTGCCGGAATATTTAAGAATCAGGAGCAGTCCACTCCGAATGGAAAACTCGAGCCAAATGCGTTCTCTTCACACAGCTGGGGTGTCCTCAACGAATCGTTTCGGGAGGAGCTGACTTTCAGAACGGACGTTCGTCGGACCGCTCCCAGAACTCGTGAGCTATGATGAGTGGAGGCGGGCGTGGGTTGTTCGGTTGATCGGAGGTACACCCCTATCCTGAAGTCAAGGCGTCGCGCAACAACGTGACAGACTCACGCCTCGGGGTCTGACCCCGCTCATTCTTTGGGCGTATCTCACTCAGACGAGGAACTGTTGCGCTTCGTTCGTTACAACCGGGTTCGCAGTCTCGCTCGAGCTGACGTATCCACTGGGCTGGCAGGAGGGGCTTGTTTGAGACCGTAGGTGCCGAGAAGCTGGTTCTCCCTCCTGGAGATTCGCACACACTTCAATTCACCTGGTATCCACGTTGAGATCAACTCGACGTTCTATCATGGCGATTCCAGCTCGTTGGCGTCCTTCAGTCGATTTCCGAAGCTCCCTGCCCCGATCGAGGGATGAGAGACACTCTTAGAAACACATGTTTTTCCGTCGTCGACTAGCCTCGATTCGCTTCATGTTTCAGCAATCGGCGCCACGGTCGTATGAGCTTCGAGACGACAGCTCGGTAGATCCACTCCGAGAGGAAGCTGATACTGGTACACTAGAACGTGAAATCATATCCAAAAGAGAGAAACCAAAAAGATGCGAAGTTTTCTAGCACGTTTTCGAATGCAAGCGGTTGAGTTGCAGACCGCTCGGCACTCCGGGGCGTTCTACAACACAGTGGAGGTCCGCGCGGGAGACATGATGGCGTAGATACACACTCTGCTCTCACCGCTTTTCCTCACACTCACACGGGTGCGCTGGCGCTTTTCCCCCTTCCCCCCGAGCCGCGCGTCGTCCCAACATCCGCCAGCCTGCAGCCTGCTCGTTCCCGACGCCCTTTCCCGCACAACTAGCAGCACCTTCTGGCGGCGGGGGCCACGTCACTTCCCGTTTTCCCCGGCAGCCAGCATTCGTGGCATCGACGACTGTGCGCGGACCCCTCTCTCTGATCCGATGCGGCAGCACGCGGAGCTTCGCGCTCCCTCCGAAGAACAGACGGGATCCCTTTCCCTCCAGCTGCTCCTGAGCTTCCCTCCTCCTCCGATCCGTGAGCATCCTGCTGGTGAACCCGATTCGGCAACGAACTCCTTCTTCCGCTGCCTTCCTGGCAAGCTTGTCCGCCAAGCCAAGTAGCGACTTATAGTCTTTCTCTCCGCTGCGGCACATCCTCGCGCGATCGAAGAAACAACAATGTACAACGAAAACTTCTCAACACGCTCCGATAGAACGGCAGCAGAAACCGAATGCCACCACCTGTGGCAAACCAGTTCAAGGACCACAAATCGGAACGAATCAATTAGATTTCATTCATTTCGAGGGAGGGTCGGATTCCCGGGGATCCCGCATGCCTTTTCCAACAAGTGGATATCCGTCCTCGATCGCGGGGAGCTTATCGCTCCGAAAGATGCCGATTGCGCAGCTCACAAGAACGAGAGAAGCAGATTCGGTGCGCGATGGCGGGACGGGGCCGTGTGTTCTTAAAATATCCAGCCGGAAGGGTACACCGCTCCCCGTCGGCCGCAGATACAAACACATCCCATGACACAGCTAGAGCGAGAGACGGATATAGTCGGTCGTCTAACAAATTACTAACCGCAGCGTGAGATCTTCATTCTTATTTTCCCAAACTCGCATGGACTTCTGCGGCCTGTCGCGGTTGGAGCCGCGACGAGGACGCCCAATCGAATGATCCTCTTTGAATGCGAACCGTATTCGAAGGAATCATACGTATATCCCTCGGTTCAAGCGACTGAAGCTCTTGAATCTCACGGACGATTCAAGGGTTCTCCGACTCCGAGCTCCGGGATGCTACACGAGGGATAAATCGTGGACTTTCGGACTACGGACCGTCGGAATCCTTCCCGACGTCTACTGCCGACTCTGGATGCTGAAGTCGCTCATTTCACGTCGGGAGTTGAGCTCACTTCTTCACACCTAGAGCGTAGAAAGTGACAAGCGCTAAGTACCTGGGAGATGTATAACGGCGAGGACAAGAACAGCAACAAGTGGGGGCCGAACGATCGTGCTTTCGGATTCGGGATATCTGGTCCGAGAGGTGCGGAAGCGGATGGATGTGTCTCGGAACAGGCGAAGAAAAGTTTGAATCACGGAACGGTCCGCACAGAGAGTTTTCGAAAGTTCAATGACAGCATCCTTTGTTTCCTCTTACGGTGGCTCTAGTCCAATATCTTGGCGGAGGTCGACACCTCCCCAACGAAATGCATCCACGAAGACCAGCAGGAAGAAAAAACCCATATCCTCCGATTCGCGGCAGTATTACTGTATCTGCAACGCCCGCGAGACATTCGCGATTACCGAGCTCAGCGCACCTCTGCCTGCCGCTTCCGAACATCAATAGGAGCCTTCGCCATAGAAGCAACGAAGATTTATGACATCATAGGGGAAATCTATCCGCGTCGAGGGATTGCGCCGGAATCGGCTTCATCAGGTAGTGCTGCGTCACGGCGCGGATATTGGAGCAGTTTATTCCACATTTTGTTTGTTTAGGGTTTCAAGTCGACAATGAAGCACGCCGCACATGAACATCATAGACCATCGCGACGAATATTTGAACTGATCGATGACCGACTGCGAGTGGTATGAGGATCGGAATCCCGAAAGAACACGATGCTCTAGGACCCGGCCCTCTCTGCGAAAGCAGACTGTGGGCCGTAGAACCAGGGACCGTGTCCTGCATCTGTGCATATATGCTCTGATTGTCCTTGGAACGCAACAATAGCCGGGGAGCTTCAGCTCCTCTTATCGAAGCCTCTGTCCACCTTTCCGTTAGTGAGTGTCCTCGCGCCTGCTCGCTCGAGCGCGGAGCGCGACGTTTGCAGATTCGTCGTACCGGTCACCTACGGAGCACTGGGAAAAGAGGCGAAATATTCAGTGGTGCATCAAAAATTCAGTAGGCATGTACGCGGGAAAGAGGAGTACGGGAAATGTTTGATCCTTCGAAATTGAGTATCCCTTGTTCCCATCCTCTTCGAACGTAGCTCTGCGAGTTCGATTAGCGGATGAGCTAGAAATATTCCCATGAGCGCAAATCCGAAACTCGTTGTAGCATTATGATGTCTGGAGGTCACCTGCTTAGCTCAGAGCATCGAGATAAGAATTTTGAGCTCTATGCGGCGTATGATACACACCTGATGATGAGTAATGACTCCGATGTAGTCCTCGGTATTTTCGCATTATCGCTCGCCTCCGACAGTATCCTGTAAGTCGAATACTGTGCCCTCGATAAATTTTGCGTGACTGACTCCTCCTCATGATCCGAAGCATCCCGCTCATCCCTCTCCTCGGCAGGTCCCTGCGATAGCTTCGCGCTATATTCCTTCGGCTAAGAATAGCAGTTTCAATGACGGTAGATCCTCCTGCCTCGCCGGCGGGTTGATTATACGCTGGAGGCCACAATGGTTTCCTTTCTCACGTCCGGAGAAATCACGCCTGAGTGTTAGGGGGATCATCTCACTCGGATAATTCATTCGAAGATTCTCATGGGTCCCGGGGCGAAGGGAAATTGAAACGAGATGCATCGACAATGGATCGTTCACCGTTACGCACGGTATCCTAAGCAGATGATGCAGCGAGGCGTCATTGTTCGTTCCCCGAGATGTGATCGGACCAGTTGGCAGCTCAATGGACGGAGACAGGTCTCATAGGATCAGGAGGACGGAAGATCGCGACAGATCTTCGCTGATGCACTCATATACAAGGATAAACGAAATTACGTGATGATGCACGCTTTCTCATGCAGCCAGCAGGTTGCCCGTACCGAAGCGACGAGTGAACGGACCTTGTTTGTCAGATAGCAAACATCACCGGCTTCATTGACCGATTGAAGATTCGACCTCTGGCTCCTCTCCGCACTTTTTCAAAATTTTCTGACGAGTAGATTCCTGATTGACTGACGGCCTGAGTCGAAAGAGTTTTGACTTCCCCAAAGTGCAAGCAGTTCTGACCGCTCAGGCAGCTCTCG